TGACCCACATGAACCATATTCCAGCAGTTTCTGATGCTGTCACAAAATGTTTTTCAAAAGGCATACATATCATAATTTCCATTGTAACTGTGGTCTGTTTGCCTGCTTTCCCCACTCAGTTTACCTTAGATTACCTTGGCTCCCTTACTGGAAGGGAATTTCTCATACTGGGGATTATTCAAGCAGCTCTGACCCCATTTAGAAAGGTCTGGAGGGGCAAAGGAAACACCTCATAGTGTTAACTGTTAAGTGCCTGGAGAAACTGAGCTTCATTGGATAAGGCATTATACGATTGACAGGGGTCCTTCCAATCAGGAGAGCACTGCCAACCAACCAAGAGCACTGCTCCTCAGGTGGTGTATGTTTTAGAGTACAGCATTCCCTAATGATCTTGGATCACCTGAAGTAAATCCTCTGCTGACATTTACAAACACTGATCGTAGCTTTAAAGTTGAGAATGGATCTATCTTTTTAGGCAGTCATTGGTTTGGCTTCTGTTGGTTGCAACTTGATTTTACCTTCATCACATTAATACATGAAACAAAAAAACGTATTTTGCAGATTTCTTTTTTATTAATGTGGGATATATTTGGATTTTCATGTGGCTAAAGTTGAGTTAGAATATTTATTATGAGTAACCCTACTGTTATAGAGGTTTCTAATCCAAAATGTAATCTGCAAAAACCCACTTGTTGATCTGTGCAAACACTGGACGTGTTAAACAAACTGGATTACCCACTTCTGACTGGCACGCCTGTTCTCCTCATTGTGTCTGTGTAAAGCACACGTTCCCTTTTTAAGGGATTAGTCTTGTGCCATTGTGCGGGTAAACAGCTACTGCACTTTGGACCACATTTATGCAGAATTGACGCTTGCTTTGAGTCTTTTTGGTATGAACCTGAAAAAATAACCTAACTATTTAACATTGACACACTTTCCCTTGAGTCTTCACTCTTGTATTTATGTCTTGATGTCATCAAAGCTGTCATTATCTACTTCATTAGCCATCACCAATTACTCTGGTCTGATATATGCGTGGTGTGACATGAGGTGGCTCTCAGTATGACGCACTTGAGAGCCAGAAATCCCACCATGCAGCTCTGCTTAGTGCTGACCAACTCACAGGTCTCCACACACCAGGAATAACCGGAGGACGCACACGCAAGGCACAACTGTGACGGTCAAGGCGCTTAAGGAGGCAGTTTAAGTGGATTATCCTTTAACTGTTGAGTTAAGGAGACTCTGTGACTGTGGCTGTGACTGTAATAATTACATCTCACAAGTAAAACAGAACTGTTCCTAAAACTCATAAATTAGTCATACATCTAAAATGAAAAACTGGATGAGGCTGAGATGTGTAATCTTTTTTAAATAAACGCCAGCTTTAATCACTGAGCCTTTACATGTGTCATCCCACAATCCCCCCCCCCCCCCCTCTCTCAACACTCTCCAATTAAAGCTAATTTAATAAACTGGATACAATTAGACTTGGATTATGTTTTTCCAGAATAACATCTTAATTTGAATTGAGTGGGTGAGCATGTGCAGACGAGGATAATATTTTCCAGACCATACGAAGTAATGGGTAACGGCATTGACATTATGAATGAAAACATACTAAATTATAATGTTTCCATTCCCACTTCTAACAAACTAACTTCTACTAGGTGTCCTCTGCGCCATCCTCTAACATCTGAGTGAGTGACCGCACGGCTGGTGTTGGGAACGTTTTAGTCCTCGGGTCTGGAGTGTGTGGGTGGAGCGCCCGGCCGTGTTCCTTTCCTGTTTGTTCTGTTTGGGTTTAACGGCGTCAAAGATTAGCCATCTGCCTTTGACCAGGCCAAGCCTTCAAACTCAGACGTCACTTTAATCTGCTCCACTTTATTGCCGGACCACGGCTCGTAGTATAGCTCCTCCATAGAACTAGATGGAAAATAACAGGAGACGCCATGTTGCTAAAACTCTCCTACAGATGTTTCAGTTTAAATAAGTGTTACCTAAATGACTGTCCTGGTAACTTGTCGTTATTGTTTTCTGCTTGGAAACAAGTACTCAACATTGAAACATTATGGATAACTCTGGTTACCAAATCCACTGTAACACATTCAAACTCAATCAGTACAATAACCCTGTGTGTTATCTACCAAATAGAGTATTTTCATTTTTTTCAGAAGTCAAATAGCTTTTTTTAAGCAAATATAATTGAACAACAATGCTATCAAACCTGTGAGCATCCTACTCTCCATGAAAAACTTCCAATAGAATGTAAGAAATTACAAACATAGGTACTCCTCAATTTCATCCTAAAGACCGCAAAACTTTTTGTCGGGACTGAAATCCTTCCTTTGAATTCAATTGTGGGATAGTCTGTAACATCTCTTGTCCTCCTCCAGGTGGGTCCGGCAGGGTCTCAGTTCGGCCTCCTTGCTTGCCTGTTTGTGGAGCTGTTTCAAGGTTGGCAGATTCTGGAGAAGCCTTGGAAAGCCTTCCTCAAGCTGTCTGGCATCGTGCTCTTCCTCTTCCTGTGCGGCCTCCTGCCGTGGATCGACAACATCGCCCACATATTTGGTTTCCTCAGCGGCATGCTGCTCTCCTTCGCCTTCCTGCCCTACATCACCTTTGGGACCTTCGACAAGTATCGGAAACGAATCCTCATCGCTGTCTCCATGTTGGCGTACATCGGGCTGGTGTCTTCACTCGTCGTTTGGTTTTACATTCGCCCGATTAACTGGCACTGGCTGGAGCATCTCACCTGCCTGCCCTTCACTAGCAAGTTCTGTGAAAAATACGATATAGACCATGACATTAACGACGTGGTGCACTAGTCTCCATGCTGACCACCAGCTTCTAACTGATGAGTGGGTCAGCTGTCACCAGATCCAGTCGGGAGCCTTTTAAAATCTGACTATCATATATTTTTTTTTATCAATTCATCCATGAGAAGTGAACTGAATTAATCTCTTCTCCTCGGCCTGCTGACTTGTTGACTTCAGACAAACTTAACTCAGCCTCAATCAAGTGTGTTACTACCTGGCATGTTAATTAGCTAATGGGCTGGCAGATTCAAAGGACAAGAAAAGACACTTAGGGCGTCAAAAACGTGCAGAGCTGGGTTGACCTCAAGGAAAAGCTCTATAGCGCCAGAGTCTCTTTGGTTCCTTCAGCTCAAAGTCACATCAATCGAAAGAAGCCAAAATAATGACCAATGGCCTACAATCCCTTGTCCCTTTAATGCTATGGAGGACAAACAGCTGAGATGAAAGGGAGAATGTTCCGGGTCTTCCGGTGTCTTGTGGCCTCGGTGAACTGAAACACATCAGACGCTTCCTGCTGCCACTCATTCATGTTTTCAGTGACGCTGTCAATCAGATCTGCTGCTTCTATATGTTTTATCAATCTTGAAAGGCTTTCAGAGTTCTAACGTTTTAATCTTCGCTCTTTTGTAAGTATGCACTAGGCTTGTTCTTAATTTTTGGAGCCGTGATATGTTAGGCTAATGTTAACAAGGTGTTCCAAGTATTAACTGTGCAGCTGAAATTGTTAAAGGGAAATATATTAGTGGTCAACTAAGGTAAGATTTCAATCGAAAACCACTAGTTGCCTTAAACAGACTATGCCATTCTACAAAGATGCCTCATTTGACTTTTGCATTCTGCCTGTGATCAACTTACTGAATGCTGATCACATGACACCAAACCTACCAAAGCAACAACATTGGATGCTTGTATTGTATTTGCATGTTGTTCTTCACAATCCCTCAGATTTCTTTACGTCCATGCCACATCATGTCTCATATGTGTAACGTCTCATAACACAGTGGTGCCTAAACCATTTTGTATGCTTACTGTAAAATGTCCATGGGAGTAATCATCTAAACAGACCGTTTTGTTGAATCCAAGTAAGTTTTCTACTGTAATTTATGACTCTTGAAATGCCAACACTCCTGACCACATGTCATTTAAACTCACCTTTTTACCTTTTTGTCTGGAAGCTAGCAGCTGGTTGCTCTGGTTTTCAAATCCATGACCCAGGTTAGGTTGTTGATGACAATGTGATAAATGGTTGTCAGAAGTTGTTTACCTGAATTGAAAGATTTCTCCCACAGTTCCCCCTGCCGTTATCTTTGAGCTGGTTTGTTGTTGTTGGTGATTCTGTTGTGGACCGAGCTGTTAGGAAAGCCTGTTGTTGGAGGATTATGTGAGTTACTGAGTGAGTTATGAGATTATGAGAGTGTGTCTAAGGGGCTGACTTACTGATTATCAACATGTTGACAACATGAGTTGTTAAGTGCAACAAGGTTATATGTTGGGCAAACACCACTTTATTTAAATTGTAAAGGCTGTCTGTGTACAACATAGGACTCTAGCAGTGTAAATAATGACCCCCACCTATCTTTAGGAAACCTCTTCACTGTGCCTTTTGACCTGAGTGTTTATCTGAAGAGAAACAACTGCTGCGCTTGCTTTGGGACCAAATATATTCACTCATTCTGATTATTGGAATGAAAAAGGAACATTTTTAAATGAACTTCAGGTCATTTTCGAGGTACTGTTTTGTTTTGCTTCAGTTTTATATGTGAAAATATATGTGTGTTAACACAGTTATGTTCAAATAAATGTCACTATTAAAAATGAGTTTCACTCAGTTACCTAGTGAACGTTGAGGTTGTGTCTGTCATCAAATTATTTTACATTTTCTGTACTTGGCGCCACACCATTGAGACCCAAAAACAGTTGAATTTGTATACATTAAAGTGAGAATAACTGAACCTTATATGTTTGTGGATCTGTTATACAAAGGCAACACAAACTTAATGACAAATTCTTGTAAAAGAAGTATTAAGAAAATGCAATATGATAAAAAGCCTTAAAATAGTTACTAAATGGAAGTGGTAAGAACAACTGTAAAAAAACAAAATGACATCAATGCAGACATGCTAGAAAATAGAACCTTTATTATATGAAGAACAACACTTTGTAAATAAAAACGTGTTCGTCTTGATTCAAGATTCGGGAGGCGGTGATGGTCTATGAGGGGAAAGGCAAGAGGAGGCTATCGAGATCATTTGAAAGCAAACATTTAGAAAACTTAAATACTAAATAAAGTGATTGCATGTGTACATAAATATAATAAAATAATCACCTGCGTCTAAGCTACTAAATAGAACTATTGTATAATATCACTCCCTTTTGAATCTTTATTTCGTAGGCTTTGAAAGTTAGCTGTTCACTTTGGCAATTCACCTTCAAAGTCATCATCATAGTTAAACAAAGTGTTGCACATAACAGAAATGTTCTAATGCTGTGGTAGGCATGACGTTTTTTACCAAACCATAAAGGGCAGAATGAATTAGTACTGGGCATATACTTAATGACACAATGGTTTCATGGAGCGCATGAAACCATGTTATATTGGTTAAATAATACATATATTAACAAAGACAAGGCCACTGTGTTCTATTGAATACAATATTACATTTCTTACATTATTAATCGTTAAATACAAAACAAAATATAATAAATAAGTGCTTACATTCTTTCAGGACTTTGCTGTAATGAATAGTTTTTTTTCCTTGCAGTATTTTAAGTTTTCAACTATTTTCCACACTGCTGATGTTTGCACTCGGCTGTCTGCAGACTCACAGTCGGAGCACATTCCTCAGAAGCTGTCGTATGCAAAGTGAGGATCACAAACAACCTGCTGCTGCTGGAAGCTGCTCAGATGTCCCATAATGATGTGTCCATGAGGGGATTCAGGTCCCAGAGGATCCAGGGAGAATCCACATGAAGTCCATCTGTCCTCAATAACCGCTGTTACGTCGCATGTAGGCGTGGCCCCTGACCGGGAACATCATCTCAATAAATGTAAGGGGTCCCACCGAGATCTCACTGGGGCCCTGCACCTTGAAGCCTGACTTCCTGTAGAAGGGGACCAGGAAGTCTTCACACATCAGCACGGCGCGGCGGACGTAGGGCAGGCAGCGCAGGTACTGCAGGTAGCGCCACATCAGGATGGAGCCTTTGCCCTGCTGCCGGAAAGTCCTGTGGACGGCCAGGACGTGGATGTGGACGGTCATCCCGTGAGGCTTGTGGAGAGTGAGGGCATCCTGGGAAATACAGAGGGAAGGGAGAAGTGTAAGAAATGTGGAATTGATTAGAAACCTGTTTAAGTATATACTTGGAAGACTGTGGCCAAAAAGGTAGAGCAGTCGTCCATCAGCCCCTGCTGTCAACATGTCGACCTTGAGCAAGATGCTTAGCTATAAATTACTCCCAATGGTGTGTGAATGTTTGGTAGCACCTTTTATGGCAGCCTCTGCCTCTGTATCAATGTGTGTGAATATGGGGAAAAGACTGAAAAATCCCTCTTTGAATTAAATCTATTTTACTAAAGAAAAATTCAAAAAGTGCCCAACTATATCTATGCCTGGGAGATAGATGTTTCATTCAGTCTTAATTTGAGATGGATAAAACATTGTTCCTCCCACAATAGAAAACTAGTATGCATTCAAATGGAGAGTTTCCTAATTCAACACACTCAGGATATTTGATGATACAACATTACTTGGACTGGTATGACCATAGCTCATGTTGGCAAATGATAACAAACTTGATGATTGATGAATGTTTGCTGACTTTACGATTCTCTATTGTTACTATGTGTTAGCATAGAATATATGACGGAAAAGTCATCACAGACATATGACTATACAGCTTCGGTATACATGTGAAATAAAGAGTGTTTTCTCTAGCACATTAAAAGGTTGATAGTTTGTAGTTTTTAAAATGTTTAACCTAATGAAACCTCTACACATTGTCTTCTGTGAATGTTTGCTCTCTGAGTTATTGCAAAAAGTCATTGCACAGTTTTCCTCACAGCTGACTTTACTTTCTAACTATCATTCTGTATATGCCTCAAGAGTGTGCCAACCTGCATTTCATATTAAAGGAGCATTCAAGGCCATAATAATGCTGAAACGTACCCTGACACATCTGAACAGTTATGGGAATCTGGGAAACATTTACCCACACCATCTGACTTTCTGAATCTCTCCTGTTAATCTGTTTTGAACCTCGTTCTGCATATTCCCTGCCATTAGGCCTGAGATAATTCTCTGTCCAGGTGTCCTGCTCTCTGTCTCACCTCGGTAAGCCTCTCCTGGTCCCACAGTGAGCCGATGATGAAAGCCACCAGACGTCCCCCCTCAAACCAGCCAAGAGACAGCTCAGGGCACAAGGTGAGGAAGTGACGCACCTCGTCCAGGTGGAGAGGACACTCGCCGGACACTGAAATGAAGGCTGTGGAGAGGAGAATATTATACATTAAGAAACCTGGATGACATAAAGTGGGCATAACGTCCCCCTACTTACATGTGACTACCATATTTGATAAATAAGGGTATGCTGGATCACAGCCAGGGAAGTTATGCAGGTCAAAGACACCTGAACTCATATCACACACACATTTAGGATAGATCGTAATGGTCATGGTCAGGGCCGCCTTAATGCACGGGCTGACCTGGGCTGAAGCCCAGGGGCCTACGGAGATCAGGGGCCTATCATGAGCCAATACATTTTTTTAAAAAATTTTAAAGTTTTTTTAAAGTTTTTTATTTCGGATGTTTTTAAAAAACATTTAAATAAACAAAGTGTTGGCTTTCAGAATATGAAACTTTTATTTCCAAAATCACACAATAAATACATTTTTGAAGCTTGTAAAGGGAAGATTACAGCTCTCACTCGCCACTCACTCCCCCTCCCTCCGGCTGAAGTTATGAATGTAAGGCGTATAGTAATCATAGATAACACGGCAGGGTCCGTTACAGTTTGTTTTCATCTGGTTTCAAATAAACAAAGTCTTGGCTTTCAGAATATTAAACTTGTTTCGGATTCAGATGATAAATACAACATTGAAGCTTGTAACGGCATAATTACAAGCGGAGAACGGAGTAACTTGACGTCACAGCAGGCATAACAACAGCCAGTGTTTCTCGTGTGGGTTTTCCTCGGGAAACAAACACAATACACACAAACGCAAAAATACACACACACACACGTATACACACACACTCGCGAGCTCCCCCCAGACCAGTAATCCAAACGAAAATATCTTCCCTCCGTAGTAGTTTGATCATTTGCTCCGCTAATCAATCAGATCGATGGATTCCAGAGATTTTTCTCAAAAATGATGACTCCAAAACAGTCAGTACCACTTAACAGCCAATCAGAATGAGAATATGTTTCACATGTGATTTATTCAAATTGCGAGTGATTGAGTGACAGAAGAAGGTTGTTTAGGAGAAAAAGTTTGAGAAGAAAAAGTTTGAGAGTGGCGCTCTGGAAAGGAAATTGTTGAGGGAAAAGGAGTTTCGAGACAAGCAGCTATTACAAAAAATGCCGAAGTTTACAGGTTATTTTAAACCTGTAGGCCGGGATGAGGAGGAAGGACAGATGAGTTCTGTACCGAGCAGTAGCGGTGCCGGCCGCGGGGCCTCGGAGCCAAACGTCTGGTTCTGATAGCGATGGAGTAGCGGGAGAGGAAAAACAGACAGGAGGGATGTTGGAGGAGATGGAGAGGATGACGAGGACTTGCTACGTGGAGGGGAGCCAACGGCAACCGGACAAATACACGAGGGAGGCCCGATACTCACTCATCTGGAGGAGAGGACCAGGCGCGCGTAGAGCAGAGTGGAGAAGTGCGATCACAGAACCTGCCGAGGCTATAAATGACTTTGATTTGTTGTTTAAATAGGGGGCCTACTAAACCTATCAGCCCCAGGGCCTGATGGCAGGTTAAGGCGGGCCTGGCCATGGTAACTATATTTGTAGTGGGCCACACAATTGAAGGTAAAAGTAAAATATATATTATTTATGGTTATTCATTACAAAGATATAGATTTAACCCTAACCCTTAATCAACAATAATTACAAGAATAATCACAGGTCACCCTTTATAATTATACAAAATATCATTTGTTGGCCAGAATTAATCCTATCTATATTTTTAAAATAGTTTACTATAGGAGATACATTGTTTAAAGGTATACATTAATAATGTCTGTTTTTTGTTGAACGTTTAAGAAAAAAATGACCTTAGGATGCTTATTCCATGAGACACAATGAATGATCTCAATTTCCTTTACAAGAAAGAAAACGTCCCTAAAATAAGTAACATTTAAGACTTTAACTTATGCACCAGCACCAGCACACAATGGTCTTGCTTGTTTGAAGTGAATATGTCAGCACTTTTTGTGTTGTTGTTACGAGTTGGAATCTTTATGGTTTATTGCTTTGGACAAAAGCGCAAGCTAAATTCGATGTAATGTCCTCCCTGTGTGCGTAACAGAGCATGGAAAAGGCTAACTGCCCTAAAGTTATTTAAAAGCCTTAACAGGACTACGTGATTTAATTAAGTAAAGCACAACGTGTAGTTTACCTTCTCTCTCAATCTCGAACACGCTGATAGCATCCTCCGGGCTCAGGGAGCGGAACTCGCTGGCCGGCAGCGTGTGGCGGCGACCCCTCGACCCCAGAGAGGGCATGTGGAGCGGCCTCGTCAACGGAACTGCGCTCATCACCGACATAAAGTGGTGTTTTCCCCAAAGAAAACAAAATAATAAAGTATGGGGGTGTGTACCTGAGGACCTATGTCTGCTTATCTCTCCTTTAACGTTGCTAGGTCCTCGTCTAGAAGCCTGATCCGTGCGTAAAGGGACTGCGGGTTAAGACTGAGCAGAGAGGTGTGCGCCTTCAGTATTTATACCCTCGGTGCGCAAGGTTATAATCCCCAAGCGAGCTGGATGACCAAACCCTGCAATTCCCCATGAGTAAATCAAACAATAAACATATTTAGTCGGGGTCAGATGGGATATCCGTGTGGTGAGCAATGAGCATTATCCTCCTCGTCATGCATCAGACTTGCAGCAGATTTGGATTTTACTGATCATGTGTTGGAGGTCTCATAGTCTGCTGGGGTTGTTACCAGTGTGCGAAATACGGGGGGGTCCGGGGGAGCTCGACCCCCCCGATGAACACCTGAGCCCCCCTGAAAGCCTCAACAGCAACATTTAGGGGGGGTCTGAAATTATAATATGTATTTGTCACTTGCAATGGTCACTACAATGTTTTTAAGCTTACTATGTCCAGTATTCATAATTCAAAAACATTTATTCACAAATATCTTCTATTTTGGCTGTCAAAAGCAGAGCCAGCCGCGGTGACGCGGGTACGCTGCGTGACGCGGACACAAATTATGCAAATTAGCCACGCGCGGCAAAGAGGAGAGAAATACGTTACATTAGAGAGGACTACAATGTCTAACCCCCAAAACACACCAGGAGCGTCTGCGCCGCGTTACGTTGCGGCTGCGCCACGCTGCGACCTCCTCCTGCGACAACACACACCAGACGCGTTTCAAAACGTTGCGGAAGCGGAGCGTCGTGTGTGCAGCCTCGCAGTTGTTGTTGATTTTGGAATATTTCCTGGACATTTGTACTTCTACAAGTAAGTAGGCTATACGTAGTTAAATGGTTTATGTTTGTGTCTGTTTAAATCGTGTTTATTGTTGTTATTTCCTATTTTGTTGTGTTGTAGACTACAGACACAGTTAATAATAATTGTAATATTCCAGTTATAAACAACATGAATCAAAGATGTGTTGCTGTATTTTAGTGGTAAAAAAATATGCATTCATCATCATAATTCCATCTCCACTTCCATTATGAACACCTCGTCGTCCATGGTGCGTTTCGTAGTGGAGGTGTTGTGGGGTCTGCTAAATTAGTATATGTGGGGGATGGGCCTGGCCCGGATGCTCACCTTTCCACTTCCTGCGAGGGGGGGGGCTGCCTGCCCGACTTTACCTTACGGCTGCGCCGCGGCAAAAATAGGATTCATCCTAATTTTAGAGAAGCGCTGCGCCGAGCCGCTTCTGGGAAGCGTCTGAGCCGTAACGCGGCGCGTGTGGTGTAATAGCACCCATTGACTAGAGTGGCCGCGATCCTTACGACCGCCGCGGCGCGGCCGTAACACGACGCAGACGCTCCTGGTGTGTTTTGGGGGTAAGAGAAAGCTAAACCAAAGTGTTTCACTCGCGCACTTTGGGTTCACATCCAAAAAAGTGACACCACGAGATGACCAAGAGACACCCAGAGATGATGCTGATGATGCAGCAGCTAGCACAGCACTCGCTACCAGAACCGTTAGCGAGTCGGGGGCTCCTGTCCCGCCCAGTCACTCCCCAGAAGGAGGTGAAGTTGAGGCAGAGCGCTCAGAAGACGCAGCAGTTGCGGAGGTAGCTGCTACTGCTAGTGACTTTCCGCCGGCTGGTTGGACAACGAAGCAGGTGGGCGAATGGAAAGACCGCAACCCCTGGCTTGACATTAAGGCTGGAAAGTTAGGATGCTTAGTGTGTAGGAAAGCAAAAACGTTGCTGCTAAAGGGACCGGGTTTACACCTCGCGGAAGAATGGATCAATGGTGATGTTACTAGCCCTGATGCAAAACAGCTACGAAAGAAGATCTACAAACACAGGGACGGCCAGGCCCACGCGAGGTCAGTGGAAATAGTACAGATGAAAGACAAAGAAACCCTCCCAAACTGTTTCATTGATGTACAGTCCGATTTACTCAAGAAAACAACAGTCTCGTTTAGAACAGCTTACACCGTAGCAAAGGAAAGGCTATCTTATAAAAAGCTCAACCCCCTCATGACAATGCAGGAGCTGAATGGAGCCGAAGTTGGGAATATCCACAAATCTGACCATGCATGCACGGAAATAATAAGTCACATTGCAAAGGAAATGCGCCGCAAGTTCGTCTCTAATGTGAAAGAAATGGATTCAAAGGTATCAATCACAATTGATGAAAGTACCGTTCACAGTCGTCCCTATCTAATCATTTACGTAAGATGTGATGTCAGTGGTAAGGGGGATGTAGATAATGTGTTCCTGGATATAGTGGATCTTACAGATGGGGTCGATGCTGAATCAATTTATAACTCAATGATGGCGAGTCTATAAAGCTGGAATGGATGATGACTTTTTGAAGACGCACCTAATAAGCATAGCCACTGATGGGGCTGCAGTGCTCACGGGAAAAGCCAGTGGGCTTGTCGTCAGGCTCAAAAACAAGTTTCCGAACGTGCAGTCTGTACACTGCCTGGCGCACAGACTATAACTGTCAGTCAAAGATGCTCTTAAAGAAGTGGGTGGCACTAATCAGTTTGAGATATTTATTTCACATTTATACTCACTCTACAATCAGTCAACCAGGAATTCCAGATTGCTGAAAGAAGCAGCGGCCGAGCTCAACATGGACATACTGAAAATAGGTCACATTTTCACCATCAGATGGGTTGCCAGCAGCTTTAAAACAGTAAAAGCTGTATGGAAAGATTTCCCCGCACTAGCACTCCATTTTAAAACATCCAGTGAGAACGCATCACGTAATGATCTTGAGGCAAAAATACAAGGGACTTTTCAAGCACCTAACCAACTCAGGATTCGTGGAAGATTTGGCTGTCATGAAAGACATCCTGCGTGAACTCCAGAGCCTGTCTCTCAAGCTGCAGAGAAGAGAAATGACACTTGTGGACTCAAGTGTCCACATCAAACAAACCATAAATGTGTTGACCGCCATGAAGACGACCGGGGGGAGATCAACGAAGAAGGCTGAACAGGGCGTCTCATCGGGCTTTTTTTAAGGACGTAGAGCTGACAGAAGGCAGGGGGGAAATAAACAAGCCTCGCTTTTATGAAACGGTGGTTGCTACTATAACCAAGCGCTTAACGGAGTCAAGCTTGGTCCAGAGGCTCAAAGCTCTTGATAATCGCTTTTGGCCTGGAGAGCAGGAAGACTGGACTTTGTTTGGCGAACAAGAAGTGCACCGTCTGGCTAAATCGCTCGGAGAACCAGCCGGGGAGGCCGTGGAGCAGTTTAGAGACTGGAAATTGCAGGGCACTCCACCGGGCAAAACACTGAAACGGCTATGCATAGCAAGTCGCACTTACCTCCCCACGTCTGCTGAGTGCGAAAGAGGCTTTTCCGCTGTGAATAACACCGACAACCAGAGCCGCAACAGGTTGCGCGAGGAGAGCCTGTCTTCGCTTCTGTTTGTGGACCTAAACGGACCCCCTTTGGACAAATTCGACCCAGTGCCGTTCGGGAAAAGCTGGATTAAAGCAGGACATCGTCTCTCTTCTTCTTGGAAACCAGGACGGCAACGAGAAGAAGTCGAGCCAAGGCATCTTTGGTCTATTCACTTAAGGTAAAAGACTATTTTTTCGATCTTTGCTGTGCATAAAATGAGCGTGTGCGTATGTCCTGTGTGGATTCCGGGGTTAAGAATAGCATAATTAGCCTTGGCGTTCAAGTTAGTGTGTGTGTGTGTGTGTGTGTGTGTGTGTGTGTGTGTGTGTGTGTGTGTGTGTGTGTGTGTGTGTGTGTGTGTGTGTCTGAGACCAGCTCTGCTCCCATTTCCTCGCATATAATCGAAAACAGATGGCTCTTTAACGGTCGCGTATTCATTCATATGAACGTTAGAATATATAATTATTTGACAGCGCCCGGTTGAGAAACGCTGCTACTACTGATTGTCTTGGATTGCATCCATGAAATATTGCATAGGCCTACTGCATATTGAGAAATCTTCGACCGGTATATTGCGCAATAAACGGCACATGGGGACCCCCCCGATTATTGACGGGTATTTTGCACACTGGTTGTTACCATTTTAAGGCCTGGAGGTATGTGTGATGTGATCTCTCAGAAGGAAACTTTCCATAGTCCCTGTAAATCGAGTGCACGTTTTTTTCCAGATGTGTAAAAGGATTACAGGGCGTGTAGGAGTTGGTTTTTCACCTCTTCAGTGTAATAAGCCACACATGTAAGGAATTTCAAGAAGCCACAGCTGTTTTCCTCTCTTATTTATGAAACTTTTCCACAAAATGTAACCCTCTTCACATAACTGGAAAGTAGAGTAATCTAGCAACAGAACTATATTTTACTGCATTTCTCATATTCTTTTTATTTAGGGGTGGTCCAGTCAACATCAACTGAAATGTAGTGCAAGACCCCTTGTAGGGGTCACAAGGCTGAAAATAATCTCTATCTCCAGATAAACACATGAAACACGAGTTTCATTTATGCAAAGCTTTCCCTGTTAAACTGTTTAAGATTTTTGGATAGGAAAAGCTTGAAAATATTCTTTGGATTCAAATTTTTTTCAAGAGTCCTACTAAGATGCCCTAAAAGAATCGTGAATGCATAGTGTAGCGACCCTGTATGCTGAGGGTGTCACTTAGGCATCCCCTGTCTCTCTGCCAATCATAGAGCTGCACAGTGATGCTGGTTGAGGTGCGGTCCTGTGGTTGGGGGAGCAGACGGGGGAGGGCGGGAAGTTGTGACGTAGATACTGATATATATATGGGTATGTGTGGGAGTTAGAGTTAGTGTGAGGTTGAACCCACAAGCATGAACCTGTGATCATCTGTGAATAAGAAGAGTTATTAAAGCCTAATAACTTGAAGCCTGTTTCCGACTCCCTTTGTGATCGTTACATTGGTGTCAGAAGTGGGATTTGTTACTGATTGTTTGGTCACAGCAGCTCCTAGTGACAGCAACTGATTCAGCTGATTTAAGACAAACGTGGTGGTTGATGGCTGAGGTTTGTGCCTGATAGTAACAATCGGTACTGGAACTGGAGGATTATTTCGAAAAACATCCACCGACTCTGTCCCCATACCACCCTCCAGGGCACTGATGGAGTTGGATGGCTGGGTTGTGGAGGGCTGTGCAACATCCTGAGGATCAACATCAAAAAAGCCAAAATCATTTGGACAAATGCCACTCTCACTCAGGGCAGCGAGGAGTAAATCGCTCTATGATTGGCAGAGAGACGGGGGATGCCTAAGTGACACCCTCAGCATCCTATACAGGGTCGCTACACTACCCCCCCCCACTACAAAGTTCCTCGCCCACGAGGAACAAATCAAACTCAGCACAAACACTATAACTACACACTGTACTTTGACTAGGAAGGTCTGGGTGGACTACCATCCCTTCCAGTGAGACCAGGGCGCATTCTTGCCCACTAAAGGAACCGAGGGGTCTCACTATAACTTTACTACCAAACAAAGTCTCTGAAACTACCCGGGGGTCGTGACTGCCTTCTCGGCAGGGGGACTGGGGTCAGGAGGACAGGGGTTGCCGGTTCTGGCCCCGGCGGCGAAAGGGGGAAGAAAATGGGGGGACACTCAGTCCCTGATGGCGGACTGCTGCTCTGCTCGCCGGGAGACCTGAGTGGGGGTGTCGAGGGGGCGGCTGTGGGCCCCGATGTTCCTTGGGCCTGTGGAGAAGCGACTCCTCTGTACGGAGCCAACCTGTCTCTGTGGAGCACAACTTTTCTCCCCTTTGGTGGCAGCTGCACCCTGTAGACCACTTCCCCCACCCTCTCCAGTACTCTGCAGGGACCAACCCACTGACTGTCCAGTTTTGGGCACCAGCCACCCCCACTCAGGTCCCCCGGCGAGCCCATTTTCTTCCCCCTTTCGCCGCCTGGGCCAGAACCGGCAACCCCTGTCCTCCTGACCCCAGTCCCCCTGCCGAGAAGGCAGTCACGAGCCCCGGGTCGTTTCAGAGACTTTGTTTGGTAGTAAAGTTATAGTGAGACCCCTCGGTTCCTGTAGAGGGCAAGAATGCGCCCTGGTCTCACTGGAAGGGATGGTAGTCCACCCAGACCTTCCTAGTCAAAGTACAGTGTGTAGTTATAGTGTTTGTGCTGAGTTTTATTTGTTCCTCGTGGGCGAGGAACTTTGTAGTGGGGGGGGGTAGTGTAGCGACCCTGTATAGGATGCTGAGGGTGTCACTTAGGCATCCCCCGTCTCTCTGCCAATCATAGCGCTGCACAGTGATGCTGGTTGAGGTGCGGTCCTGTGGTTGGGGGAGCAGACAGGGGAGGGCGGGAAGTTGTGACGTAGATACTGATATATGGGTATGTGTGGGAGTTAGAGTTAGTGTGAGGTTGAACCCACAAGCTGTACATGAACCTGTGATCATGTGAATAAGAAGAGTTATTAAAGCCTAATAACTTGAAGCCTGTTTCCGACTCCCTTTGTGATCGTTACAATATTAAACTTTATGTTTTTTTGGTGTTAGTGTGAGAGTCTGTTGCCAATTCTTCCATTTCTAAAAATAAAATAAAACAAGTGTTATAATAATAGTAAGGCAAGGAAAGGCACGTTTATTTATATAGCACCTTTCAACACAAGGCAATTCAAAGTGCTTTACAAAAAACGAAAGACATTAATAAAATGGCATAGTAATAATACAAATAATATAACATACAATAATGATATATATTTGTTAGTATGTAAAGTAATGTGTTTTTTATTTTCTAAAATGTAGAGGGACTCTACTGAAAACTAGAAGTACCGCAGTGTAGAAATACTCTGTTATAAGTAAAAGTCCTGCAATCAAAACGTTACTCAAGTAAAAGTAGAAAAGTATTGGCATCAAAATACACTTAGTGTACCAAAAGTAAAAGTACTTATTGTGCAGTTTAGCACCTTTCAGAATAATATATATAATATATTTTTTATATATACAGTATATATTGCATTTAAGTGTTATCACAGCTGGTAAAGGTGCAGTTACTTTAATTGTAATTACTTTGAATACTGCAGCTTGTGAATTTTACTCCAGGTATAACTGAAGTATTTTTAAAGTGTTGATTATATTTCACATCAATAAACTAAATCTGCAAAGTAACTAAAGTTATTAAATGAATGAATCGGAGTAAAAGTACACAATTTACCTCAGAATTTTAGTGGGGTAGAAGAACAAAGTAACGAAACATTGAAATACTCAAGTAAAGTACAGGTCTCTTAAAATGTTACCTAAGTACAGTACTTGAGTACTTTACAACACTGCTAAAACTTTGAAATGCTGTTAAAAAATAAAATAATGGCATTTATATTTGGCGAACCATGTGGTCTTTGCATCACAGCTGGAGGCCCACAGTGCCGCTCAGAGGTGACAGACGGTACCGCGCCAGTGACGCAGCTCTCCATAGCGGCGACGTAAACACGTGCACATCGCTGCTTCTAGGTTACCGTTTTTCTCATTGCACCGTCAGGCTCGCGCTCCAGCATCACTTCCTGACAACAGCAGCGATGGCGGAGCCCGCAGCATCGGATGCGGTGGCCACAGCAGCCTCCACGACCCCGGGCCTCTCCCCGGCAGCCAGCCCGGGATCAGAGCCTCCCTCCCTGGCTCTGTCTCCCACGGCGGACGGCTCCCAGCGGCTGCTCTTCTCCCACGACCTGGTCACTGGGCGGTATCGCGGCTCTGTCCGTTTCGGCCTCGTACGGATGATCCACGGTGAGGAGGAATTTAACTCAGACTCGGACCTCGATGACGGTGGTGGTGGAGGAGGAGGAGGCGGAGAAGGAGTCCCCGGTGGGTCGGACACTGAGAGCGCTGTGGACATCCCGAGTCGGCCTCTGTGTCGGGGGTTTGTCCGCGTCCAGTGGTACCCTGAAGGAGGAAAGCAGGACATCAAGGAGACAAAGGTACCACACACTGGCTAATGTGTTTACCCTGACTCCCGGTTATTCCCGGAGCATGACAAGTGTTTTTGAACTGTATGATGTTTTTTGTTGACGACATGAGTTGCTAGCCTGTCAGGGTTAAGGTTAACTTAATCTGCTTTAAACGCATAAACTCGCTGGCTAGCTCACTAGCGTGCTAGCTAGCAGTGTAGCTCATAGCCTCATGTCTTTTAGCTGGTGCTGGCAGGCTAAACAGGGTTGTTGTTCCAAATATCTGAGACCAAACAGTAATGCATTAAATAACCACTGGCCAGGTAGCATCTATCTGTCTGTAAGTCAAGTGTCACTACAGGTTTCAGCAGGTGCAGCACTCTGCTACTGTAGCAACCCTACACCCATCGATTAGTTCATCTATGACTCCGTGTAGCTCCTCATCTGGGTGTGACTTGGCCTGAGACCAAGCATTGTCAAACATTAGTTTATATGTGATATGATGTACACAACATCTTAGTTCCTCAACATATACGTGCATCCCATTTGAAACCAGTCCTATTTGTCATCTTCAGTGACAACACAAATGAGTAGAAATAAGATCTTCACTGATGTTCTGTCAGTGTTACCAGTAATGTCCACAGTTTTACGTCTAAAATAAATCCTAATGTATTACTTTTTTATAATCTCTAGGGCTGCAACTTCTTATGTGTGCATTAAATAATCTGCATCTTATTTTATTGACTAGTTGTTTGGTTTATAAGATCAAATCAAGTTTTATTTATATAGCACATTTATAAACGATTGTTGGTCGAGCCAAAGTGCTGTACATATAATAAAAATAGGCTACAGTAGAGACACTTGACAGCAAATACAACAGCACAGATTGTTCAGAATATCAGTATGAGAAAGACGACACCCTCACATCGTACAAGGAAAAACTTCCAGAGAAAACCCCACAGTTTAAGGGGGGGAAAAAATGGGAGAAACCTCAGGGAGAGCAACAGAGGAGGGATCCGTCTCCCAGGACGGACAGACGTGCAATAGATGCCGTGTGTAAATCGAAGAGATAATACATTTTACAGCATATAGACCGAATGTTAGGAAATGCATGTGTCTGTAATAAGAAGATGAATCCACGAGGATGTCAGCTACAATCCTGTGGAAGCCATCCGGGAAGCAGCATGACGAGACCCAAGGCAGGACCGCAGAGACAGGTTCAGCCACGACCCGAAGTCCACGACTTAATCCAGAACTCAGGATAGAGGATCAACAAACAATCCTAAAGTAAAATGTATTAATTTACTCTAATGGCAGACGAACAAAACCACCAAGTATTCTAATTTGAGTATATCGTTAAGTGAATTATTTTGGCACATATTCATGAACAATTGCAGGTGATTATGGCGGTATAGGTTGGCTAGCCTGCTCACAGGGCAAATAATTAAAGAGTTAAACCAAAAGCCCCTTGAATCTGGACTAATAGACATAATGTTAAAATACCCGTTCAGTGTTTTACTGTGTTATGGAAATGCTTCTTGGATCTGTTTTCATCCTATAAATCATGTAGCATTTAATTTAATTAACACACACATTGTTGAAAATTAGATTTTAGTCAATCCTCCTACACAACAGACATCAATATTGAGAGTGTATGAGAGGCAGTAAAAGACACCATCTAGATTCTACATTAATGGACACCACACCCTGAGTTATACTTGTTTTTAATTACATAAACAAATAATGAATGCATTTGTAATCAGTTAAAAGGTGGGGAAATCTGCTGTCATCTATATTATCCAGGGCTTCTCTAGATTTCTCCTGGGCTTTGTGAAGAAGGGTCACCACCAGGTTTAAAAGAGGACTGCTCTGGAAAAAGCTCATGAAAGCATGTTTTAGAGACACAGGACGAGACCAGAAGGAACCTATTTTAGGTCCCACTGTTGCCCTGCTTTGTGTTTTGTGCTAAATGAGTAAAGTTCTGGTGTCATTTAAACTCTGTCACAACAAAAGCTCTGTTCAACAATGACACAGATGTTTACACACCTCGTGGACTGTTATGCTGTGTCATTACGAGGCAGTGTCCTCTAAGGATCTAGTGCGAGCTAGTGTGTTCATGTATGGATTTCATTCTGTAGTACTCTTGTTTATGTTTTATGTGGCTTTGTTGTGGGTTGTTTGACATCTCATTTGCTTATCTGCGTTCGCCTTGTTGCATATATCCTGAGTGTGGTGAAGAATAATCAATAATTCATGATTACTTCCTGCAGTATGCAAAGTTGAATATCTTTAAGATTATGTTTCTACAACATGTAGACTTATATGTATTCTGCACGAGGATCCTCAGTTTTCTCTCTGGAGAAATCTATGGAGGCGAATTTATGCTTCAATCTGAAGCTCGTGTTGGAGTTTCTCCTGCAATAAAACCAGCATTTTCACAGCAGAGCTAGGATTTTGATAGTTTTGAGCATATTATCAGGAATTAGGTGCAACTATAAATAATCCAAATATCTAGGGATGTCCCGATCACCTTTTTTTGCTCCCGATCCGATTTTGACAATCTGCCGATACCGATTTTTACCGATCCGATCTTTATGCAATGCATTAAGAGAGAAAAAAAGGAAAAAAGCATTCAAGTTGTCCCTTAAGGTTATTTTTTTATTTAAATGACAGTTCCCAACTATCCATTCTATCCAACATGGATATAGCTTCTTTTGTTCACAGCAGCATTGGATCAGTTCAGTTGTGCAGCATTGGATCAAAACAAAATAAAGCTTATCAGTGGTCCACCACAAAATAACCATGTAAACAAATTGAGTGCAGATAGTGCAGTAACAAAACAAAAATAACTCTACTGGAAAGAGGTAGCTTGACTAGCTTCACAAGTTCACATTCAGTCACAAATAATAAAATAAAATAAAAATGTGGCTTAGTGCAGAATTCTAGCCTTAAGACTAACTAGTCTAGTATTAATGCAATGAACAACACCAGCTTAACATAACATGAATAAACAAAGTATTATATTTCCATCTTACTGCAGTAACACAATTCAATAGTAATCAGCAGCGAAACACGTGTATTTCGGTATATTCACGGCATTAATTTTGTTATTCTACAGTATTGTTGTTTTATAGTTATTTGTTAATGTAACCCAATTTGTGTTCTTTGAAATTGAAAAGGATATCGCATTGTGTGTGTTACTTTCGTTGCAGTTGTATGTCTTAAGTGTAATTTGGCTTGGCTTTCTATTCGTGGACATGCTTTTATTTTGAAGGAGAGGTAGCGCTGTTGACAGGAAGTTGTTGTTGCTTTGGAAACAACGTGACGGAGATTCTTTCACACACACATACGGGTTTTGGGCCGAGGGCGACACCGTACTTCCGGTATCCGCCATTTCACGCGAGGTGCAAGCAGAATATCATAGTCTATTGCCTTAATCAATATCTAGTCAACTCTAAAATACCACATATATGCATTGGCATGATAATATTATTGTGACAAGTGGGGTATTCACCTGGTGTTTCCAGAAGATAGACGTAGATGCTGCCAAAATCGACCGAAGGCCACTTTCGAGGGTCGTAATTCCATACATCTGCAGGCAGTCTGTAAGGGCAATCCGACAACCCACACAGCTCTAGTTTACGCTAGTAACGACCTAGAGCACACCCCTCAAGTCCAGAGATGTAATCCGAAGACATGCAGCGATTTCTTCGGTCGTTCATTCAGAAAAAAAACCTAGTGCGCTCTGCCTGGCTACGTTAGCTAGCTGTTTATATTAGCTTGCCAGGATTTTTGCACTTCCAGAAAAATGGCGTATTTATATATATATATATGGCGCGCGTTGCATTGTGGGTAGCTCGTGACGTCACTGTGTGTGAAAGAATTAACGGAGAAAAGTCATATCTACATATAAAGACGGAGAAAGTAAAGGATAACGTTTATGGTTAAGTGTTAGCACCCCCCGAAGAGGCACAAGCTCTCTTGATATTGGAGATTTCAATAAATTCAATTTGAGAAAAAAAACGGGGAAAAAACAAACAATCGTATTCGATTGGTCGTGTTGAACGTAGCTCTGTTCTTTCCACCACGCGGAACCTCCTTCTTGCAAACATTGCATCTGGCTGTTACACTGCCTTCGCTTTCAATTTTATAATACTTCCAAACTCCTGACATTTTCTCTGTGCCGACTTCCGAGTCACCAGCTGAACGTAGCCTCTCGTTAGCTTACTGCTACTATTAGACACTGCGCCCACTCTGTTGCCAGCTTTGAGAGAAATAAGCAACCAGGTCTGAAAACAAGCCCAAGATAAGCAACACATACATGATGTTTTGTAATTTTAAACCAGAACTAAGGCCTCAGGATGACTTTAAGACGTGAACATGGTCATTTTTGTTTTGTAACATTAAATAAAATAATTTTTTTAAGGATTCCCGATCCCCGATCTTTTTCTCCCGATTCCGATCTTTTAAAAATCACGTGATCGGCTCCGATCCCCGATCACGTGATCGGATCGGGACATCTCTACAAATATCTTAATGTGTTCTTTGTTGCTTCACTTACATGCATAACACTGAGCCATTCTCAGATCAAATTGTTCCCTTTGCTTCCAATATCTTCCCTTCTCATTTACTCGTCTTTATGCTTCCTGGCAAAAGGATATGTGAATATACACAGTGCCTTTTTGTATCATATAAATAATAACCTTGATTGTGTGCACTTGATTTTCTAGAAGTGGCTAGAGAATAAAAAGAGTGACTTACTGAAGCTGATAAAAAAAAAGAAGTGTTTATGTGTTTTTGCAGACTCTCTAAAAACACAAATGTTAGTTCATCACTCAAAACAAAACACTGTCCCCTCCCCCTTTAGAGAGTGGGTGGGGGCAGCTCTAACAGACGGGAACATGACAGAATAATTTACACTGCCTGGCCTGCAAGGCAAAGTGGTAGCATAGAGCACTGGTTTCCCCAATTAAACAAAAAACATACTGCTACCACTATCCTTTCAGAAGTAAGAATGAAGAGGTCATGGA